GAGATCACTTATCGTTCCATATGTATAACCACCCTGTATAATCCGGTTGTATCTCCAGGTCACCTAGATACATTCCATAGCAGCTGTAATAGACATTTAGGTACATACATTTACCAATTTTGGTGATAAATAAGCATTTTGTATTAGTTTTTGTATAACGCCTAAACAAAAACAAAGGGTAATATTTTGGTGTTATACATAGATTTCGAATATAAAAAATATATAATTTAACTAATTAAAACATGACAAAAAAACTGAGGTACGTCTCGTTTCTGTCGGGTCTGGGTTTTTTTTGTATGGGGCGTGACCGTTCTTCTTTCCACTCGAATTAAGGTTTCCTTTCAGAATAATAAACATTTATTATTTAGATTGTTTGAAATATCTTAATTATGTTCTAAATCTAATTACTTAAGCGCCCGTATTCACAAACGATGCTTGCTTAAGTGAAGCAGCAAATCAGCACAGCGTTGAATAGACCTCTGTGATGGCTTCGTGTGTCACCCTGTGCGTCCACGCACACTGTGAGACCTCATAGTAATGTTTATGAATACGGATGAAAGTTACACACTAGTTTCGCTGCACGGCTGGTGAGATAAGCTGCAGTATTTCTAAATAAATATATAAAAGGAGAAACTGACTGACTGACTGACTGACATATCAACGCACAACCTAAACGGCTAAACGTAGGCACTTGAAATTTGGAAGGGACGTAGCTTATGTACCGTAGAGGTGCACTAAGAAATGAATTCCCGAAATTCCCACGGGAACGGGCCCCTAAGGGGGTAAAACGGGATCCACGCGTACGAAGTCGCGGGCGGCCGCTAGTTTAATGGGTAACTGTTAGAGATGGGTTATACTAGGTAAATTTGATACTAGGTGCACCTATTCTTAGTATTTATTAAAACTCGATCCAAATACCTGTTCCACCTAGTACGTAGTATTTTAGCATACTTGACGCGACTAGTGCGGACTAATCCACGTAATATGACTTTAAAATACAATTTTCTTTGAAAAGATACAACCGTAGTATGAATAATGCAATTTGAAATTGAATAATAATTATTCCTCCCTTCATACTTCAACAGGCTTAGGACTGTCATCTTAAAAGTTGGCGTATTTAAAAGATATCAATTTCATAAAAATATTTACATATTTTTTCTTATTTACATGAATATGGTTTGACTACGTTTGTGTGCGTTTGCTTCGTCGCGCTCAAATTTGTTTGGTCAGACAGAGACGGAGTGAATCTCTACGTTCACACATAAGCTTAGCGAGAAATACTAGGTGCGCGTAATACACGACTACGGATTACGCAATAATAACCTGTATTACTTTGACAGTAGGGTCGGAAATCGTGTAATTTATAAAATACTAGGTGGATCAAGTATTTTAAAAATTGGAATAGGTGCCGCCTAGTACTGTAAAATACCTAGTGTGTGGATCTGTTCTAGTAAATACGTCTCATCTCTAGTAACTGTATTACATTGTCTCTAATATAAAGTGAATAAATAAAATCTTTGAATATTTTAGTTTGGAGAGTGGTTGCAAAATCACTATGTCAATATGTTGTTTATTTCTGTATAGATAGAACACACTTTTATGTACACCACATAATATGGCATAAAAAGAAAATAAAGAAATTACACAAAAGAAACGGTATTAAGGCAGTATTATCGCTAAAGCGATCTCTTCCAGACAACCTAGAGGACATGGAGAGTCCAGGGCGTCGCAGGAGGGTTTACAACCTCCACGCTCCTCCTTAGGAGTCTCGACCGCCGGGTATGGGGATGCCCGGCGGGCGCCTAACGAGACCCGTGGCGCCGACGCACCAGTGTCCAGGGCGCCGTTAGCGGATGACCCGAGGGGAATCACTATTTCCCCTCGAAGCTGGAGGGGCTCGCCCAAGAGCGAGCTGTAGCCTGAGACGGAGCCGCGGACGAATGTCCAATAGGACAATAACTCGCGGCTTCGTATCAATGGCCCCGGAGGACACCGTCGGGTTTTAGTGGGTAGGCCCCGCCCTCCCGGCCGGGGAGAGTCCCACATAACCCACTGACTGACTGTCCCCATCAGCCAGTGGGCAAAAAAAAAAAAAAAGAATACATGGAGAGATTGTTTACAATAAGTAAAACGGAATGTAAACGATATCTTTTACCACTCATATCAACAATTTCTTATGACTTTTTAACTTTAACTACTGCTTATTTTTACATGGTGCCTGACTGAAAATATTATTAAAATTTCAAAAGCTCCAGCTTTATTTTCAGCCGTTCGAAATATCTGACATATTCGCTGAATTTATTGTACTTTCATTTTATTCATTACGGTAACGGAATTTAATATATTGCATCGGCAATGTGAAATCAACATTTATTTATTTTCGTTCAATTTTGTATGACCTGATGATTCAACAACAAAAAAAACCGGCCAAGTGCGAGTCGGGCTCGCGCACAAAGGGTTCCGTAGCAGCAACAGTTAAATCAACCTATCTCAAAAACTATAAGAGATACTTTGATCAAACCAAAAATCGTTGAAAGAGTTAATTAGCATGCATCACCTCTATTTTTTTTAGAATTTTATACCCCGTAGTTATAAAAATAGAGGGGGGGGGACATACTTTTTACGACTTTGAGAGCTGATATCTCAAAAACCGTTCACTTTAAGAAAAATGTTTTTTAGAAAACTTTATATCATTTTAAAAGACCTTTCCATTGATACCCCACACGGGTATGTACATCGAAAAAAAATTTTCATCCCTCAGTTACATGTATGGGGGGCCCCACCCCCAATTCTTTTTTTTACTATTTAGTGTCATAATTTTGTAGCGGTTCATACAACACATATTCCCATCAAATTTCATCACTGTAGTACTTATAGTTTCCGAGTAAATCGGCTGTGACAGACGGACAGACGGACAGACGGACAGACGGACAGACGGACAGACGGACAGACGGACAGACGGACATGACGAAACAATAAGGGTTCCGTTTTTGCCATTTTGGCTACGGAACCCTAAAAAGGGGTGGATAATTTTGATTTATCAATGAAAATGTCTGCCTGTGTATTTAACATCTATTGAGTTCTCTAGGAATAGTTTTGCTATTTTAACTTGTATTTTATTTTCTTTTAATTAAAAATGGAATCAAATGGTGTGGTGGATGGTGTCTGAAATCACAAAAATATTTCAGCTCCCATTCCAGATCATTACTTTTATGGTTTTTCTCAATATTATCATTATTTCTTATGCAAAATCCTGTAAGTACCTATATTAAAACCGCACCTAATCAAAAAGTCTCTTTAGTACACTGAAAACACACACCAAAGGGAATAATCTAAAAGCAATTTATTACAGCTTGCTCGAAGGTCGTATGCGATTGGTTTTAAATTAAATAAACTCAATGGCGGTGTGTAATATGTCTTCTTCACGTCGATATTGAAGGCTAATGAAGTAATTTTCTGTAGCGTGATATTTCTTATATATGTAATATTATACAGGATGTCTCTGTAAGTATGGATCAAACAATAAAGTACAACAATTTCCCCAAGAGTTCAAATCTTCCAAGAAAAAACCTATTAAAAACGACGTCAATTTAGTAAGAGGATGTCAATTTTTTTGAGAATTTGGATATTATTCTCGTAGGAAACATGTTGCATTTACATAGTAGAATCTGACCTTTTTATTTCATCCATATTTAGAAAGACACCCTGTATGTCACTTTTTGAGAGCCTACCAAGCGAATATATTCCAGTTCTGTCGAAACTTCGCTTCACCTGTCAGATAGTTCTGTGATCTAACCTTTTTAAATTGGGTATGGGTATATGCATATACCTTATAATATTTTCAAGGTTAATAACATTGTTATTAGGTTAATTAATTTACAGACGAAACATATACCTACCTAATTTCACCGGTCATTGTACTTCTAAATTAAATTCACATCAATTAGCCACAAAAATTAACCGCACCGGCTTAATGAACTCCTCGAGCTGGCTTAAGTGAGCCACAAATTAGCCGCTTAACTTAAGACAGAGAGAACTAATGAGTCTTACTTACTGTTTTAGTGAGTTAGTAAGTCGCTCGAACGTTAATGTTGGTACACTGGCTGATTTAATTTGGAGTTGACAAATTGTTTCATAATACGAGTAATAAGTATAATTTTCATGAAGTATTTTACATGTTATTATAATAATGCGAAAGTAAGACAGACTAAAGGATGAAGCACACTTATCAAACCGGAAACGGATTGTAAAAAAATACCGTATCAACTCGAGGCGTTCAGTATTTTTTGTATGAAACTTCGTATTGCAACGCCTGTCTTATTCGCACCGAACATAAACGCGTCGCCTCGCAGCGAAAGGCGATACGGTGTTGATGTCCGAGTTGATAAGTGTGCTATGACCTTTACGTTACTGTTTTCTTTCGCTTTTACGCCTAATATTAAAAGTCCATAGGAAAAATCAAAAATATGAAAATTTGCATCACATAATTTATTCTAAACTCAATATTAGGATAAATATTTACCTTGATTGTTTTTTTAGAGTCGATGCTAAAATTAATTTTCAGAATCGGTTTTCTAAGCGGCGGAGTAAAAAGTTTGTTTAGGACCAGCGCGTTAAGACTTCTGTTTTATACCAAATTACACGTGGACAAGCTAAGGGCTAATGTACTCTATATTATCAGTTTTCATCGTACCGATATTCTTTGTGCAAATAAATAGAACATAAGAGCCACAGTACACATGCTACTATCAGCATCGGCGATCGGCGATTTAGTCGCTTTTTAGAAGCTGAATGCAGCGATCACACTGCACACTTGAAAACAAACGCGGCAATTAAGTTGCTTTTTGGAAGCTCGACATAGCGCCTGAACGTTACACTCCGCACACATTCGGATGCCCGGTGGCATCGATCATTAGGCATCACACGTCTACGCCAGGCAAGTTTTACCTATCCAGCATCGGAGCGTTGCTAAAATTATTCCCTTACCGTGTCCGAAGCGCATGAAGCCGCAGGTAAATCGCTATGCCGCTCGATAGAGTCGCTAAAACACGCAATTCCAATACCGCGTCGAAGCACGTGCGATTCCGATACTGCGATCGAACGCAGAGAGTCGCCAAAACGTGATTCAGCATTGATACGCAAAATCGCCGATCGCCGATGCGGAAAGTAGAATGTCTGTTGCGGCCCTAACTTCAACCTTATTGATAGGTAACCTTATTTTTTGCCCAAAAACAAAGTCGGCCCATTACAATATCTTCGCTGAATACATTGTGACAATACGAAAATTCCCCATTTTACGGGCACTATCGCGAAAAACAGAGGAATAAGTTTGCTGAAAATATTATTATTCCTTTTGGAGGTGTTAAGGTAATTTGATTGGATCTTGTTTGTCGCAGACGGTTTGCGTTAGGCTTAGCGCTCACTGGTGACAATATTTCAAATTAAATCAAATAAACAATATTGGCGTAGGCTTTGCTAGTCATCGGTTCCTGAAAAGGTGTCAGGTTTGACGTAGCTATACAATGTTGTAGTTTACTGAGTGATGCTGAAAAGTTTCTGGTGAATTTATAATTTTCAGATACATAACTGTCTTTGTCCAGCTGTGGACGTCATGAAACTGTCGCTGAAACGAACGAACGATGCAAAATCGTATAGTTTCAGTAAAGCATATAATAGAACTAATTCATTCTTCCCGTGTACTGTAAAACCATCACTAAGTATTAAGATAAGTAGTACTATGAATAATAGAATGTTTTTACTGTAAGCCCCCTAAGGACCCCTTACCTACCTTACATACAATGTGTTTAGCAGATGTGTAAATAATTCTAGTAAGAGGCATGCTATACTATTTCTAGATTTCTTCATTGTTCTAATAGCTTTAATACTTTGTCTATAACATTTCGTAAGATAAACAATGTAAGAGGTTGTTTACTTATTTGAAAAGAAAATAATGCCTAATTTAGAATATCAAGAAGTACCTACTTAAATTAAGTGTAGGTAATTATCAAGGCTCATTTATATTTAAGAGCGTTTACGCCGTTTGGCGCAAAAACAGTACTTTTTCAACTCGTTACAATCATTAACCAGTAATACTACAAATATATTATAGGCATAAATAGTTAGACAATTTCGTCGTCTAAATAGTTAATTGAGAGAATATTGCGATCAGTTTAGCATTTAAGAATTCTATCCAGATAAGTCCACACAGGTTTTGTAAATTTCCACTTTAGCGTCAGTTTACAAGCTGATTTTTTTATAAAAACACTATGAAAACGATTTAACAAACATATATATCCTATAGCATAGATCCTTGGGCAAATAGTTATCTGAGAAAATTTTTAGATTTAAGCATTTTACACTAAGAAATCACAAATTAAAAGAAGGTGAAATACCCNCTTTCAGAATCAGTAACTAGTTTTTCGATATCTTGTATAGTTTAGAAATAATCGAGTGAGATCACTTATCGTTCCATATGTATAACCACCCTGTATAATCCGGTTGTATCTCCAGGTCACCTAGATACATTCCATAGCAGCTGTAATAGACATTTAGGTACATACATTTACCAATTTTGGTGATAAATAAGCATTTTGTATTAGTTTTTGTATAACGCCTAAACAAAAACAAAGGGTAATATTTTGGTGTTATACATAGATTTCGAATATAAAAAATATATAATTTAACTAATTAAAACATGACAAAAAAACTGAGGTACGTCTCGTTTCTGTCGGGTCTGGGTTTTTTTTGTATGGGGCGTGACCGTTCTTCTTTCCACTCGAATTAAGGTTTCCTTTCAGAATAATAAACATTTATTATTTAGATTGTTTGAAATATCTTAATTATGTTCTAAATCTAATTACTTAAGCGCCCGTATTCACAAACGATGCTTGCTTAAGTGAAGCAGCAAATCAGCACAGCGTTGAATAGACCTCTGTGATGGCTTCGTGTGTCACCCTGTGCGTCCACGCACACTGTGAGACCTCATAGTAATGTTTATGAATACGGATGAAAGTTACACACTAGTTTCGCTGCACGGCTGGTGAGATAAGCTGCAGTATTTCTAAATAAATATATAAAAGGAGAAACTGACTGACTGACTGACTGACATATCAACGCACAACCTAAACGGCTAAACGTAGGCACTTGAAATTTGGAAGGGACGTAGCTTATGTACCGTAGAGGTGCACTAAGAAATGAATTCCCGAAATTCCCACGGGAACGGGCCCCTAAGGGGGTAAAACGGGATCCACGCGTACGAAGTCGCGGGCGGCCGCTAGTTTAATGGGTAACTGTTAGAGATGGGTTATACTAGGTAAATTTGATACTAGGTGCACCTATTCTTAGTATTTATTAAAACTCGATCCAAATACCTGTTCCACCTAGTACGTAGTATTTTAGCATACTTGACGCGACTAGTGCGGACTAATCCACGTAATATGACTTTAAAATACAATTTTCTTTGAAAAGATACAACCGTAGTATGAATAATGCAATTTGAAATTGAATAATAATTATTCCTCCCTTCATACTTCAACAGGCTTAGGACTGTCATCTTAAAAGTTGGCGTATTTAAAAGATATCAATTTCATAAAAATATTTACATATTTTTTCTTATTTACATGAATATGGTTTGACTACGTTTGTGTGCGTTTGCTTCGTCGCGCTCAAATTTGTTTGGTCAGACAGAGACGGAGTGAATCTCTACGTTCACACATAAGCTTAGCGAGAAATACTAGGTGCGCGTAATACACGACTACGGATTACGCAATAATAACCTGTATTACTTTGACAGTAGGGTCGGAAATCGTGTAATTTATAAAATACTAGGTGGATCAAGTATTTTAAAAATTGGAATAGGTGCCGCCTAGTACTGTAAAATACCTAGTGTGTGGATCTGTTCTAGTAAATACGTCTCATCTCTAGTAACTGTATTACATTGTCTCTAATATAAAGTGAATAAATAAAATCTTTGAATATTTTAGTTTGGAGAGTGGTTGCAAAATCACTATGTCAATATGTTGTTTATTTCTGTATAGATAGAACACACTTTTATGTACACCACATAATATGGCATAAAAAGAAAATAAAGAAATTACACAAAAGAAACGGTATTAAGGCAGGCCGACACCCTTTGCGCAAGAGGACAGCTTATGGTCTCCAACTGTCCCTTCCTAACAGGCCTCGGTCGCTAGACATGGAGGTGTCTGGTGGCGGCTAAGGACGAATGCTACAGGCAACAGCCAATGGCGATGTCCCGCGTTCCCTCATATCACTTATATGGATCATGGCAGAAACAGTCAGGTTTTTAGTGGGTGTAGGGGCTACCCACCTTCTGGTAGGAAGAACCCCAAATAACCCACTAGCTGCCCCTGCAGCTGGTGGGTATGAAATGTTATGCATTTTCCGGAATAGTAAACAGGAAAAGTTTGTTTTGAATAGAACCGATTTGAAAAAATCTCTCACAATTAAAATTCAAAAATTTTTCTGCTGAACATAGGCTGTATAAAATATTCTCAAAATAGTAAAAAACCTTTGATAATTTACTATTTGATAAAGAATTTACGTATTTATTATTGATTAGGACTAATGTATACCATTATTTATAATTATGGAGTCGGTGTTGGAAGATTTGAAGATTTTATAGTTTCCTTGAGCTGTCACTTGACAGCCTGGCATACTTTTACGATGGTGGATCAAAGTATTTTGATTTGACTATAGAGCGTGAGAACACGCACACAGTCATAATTATTTTAGTGTGAATAAAACTAGCATCGAAATTACCTAAACTTGACATGCCACGCTAGACGTAAACGCTCTTAAGAGACTAGGTATTTATTTGTTTTCAAAAGCTTTCTCTATTTGAAACTAAAGCAGTTCCCTCTAATACAGTTTAAACAAAAAAAAGATCTAATTTACACTGATCAAAGTGTAGTCGCGAATGATTTTAAACTTTTTCAAAGAAAATTACCTATATTACTATTAAAATTACCTGTCACATTGAGAAATAAATTCACAACTGTCCTTTAGGGAGCTAGCTCTACAAAACAAGTAAAATAACGCAAATGATTAAACTAACGCCATCTATCCGCAGGCCCGGTCAAAACTACCCAAGAAGAGGCGCCGCGTGCTACCAGTCGAGCAACCCCGCCGAAAGCGCGACGCTGGCGCCTCCAACCGGCGCGTGAATGCGGTGAAACATCCCGTGGTTCTGAAGGAACTGTCGCCGGGAAGCAACAAGTTTGGTGAGTTTGAAGTTCTGATGATAGAGTAGAGATGGCGTTTTTTGTACTGATTTTTATTTTAATTACAGACTAATACAGAAAAGCCTTCTAAGATACGAAAAGATACAATTTGTATAGGATAGCCACAAGCTTTTAAACGAACTCTTGTAAATCTTAAAGAATACCAACGTATAGATTTTAATCTTTTCATTAATTGAAGTAAGCAAAATGCTTTGAACTGATTTCAGACTAAAAACGAATGTTTAAAATTAATTAAAAACGAAACGGTCCGTCACGAATGCTTGACTGCTGTTTATTTTAAGAGTATTAATGATTTTGTTGAGCAAATTACTAATAAATTATAAAAATAGTCCAGCAGTTGACGTTGGCTTCTTTGTACAATCTCTGTTATTAATACAACAACTGCTGCTGTTTGCCTCCGGTCCTATAAAGTTAAATTTTTAATCCTCAACCATTTTTGGAAGGAGTTAAAAAGAGTAAATCTTCACCCTTACTTTCCAGGAGTGAACGGCATGAACATGATCAGCCTGGCCCTGCAAGGCCCTCCGAACCTCCTCCGGCCGCCGGCGGCCGCCGCCCAGCCGTTGCAAGCCCGAGCGCCAATCGGTAAAACCCACATCATTATACTACAGTCGTCTGAGAACTCGCCTCCTAAGCGATTGCTGTAATGACTAGATAGTAGCAAATATCTTAGACATAGGAATATTGAACTCATTATTGTGCAATCGATGTGAACGTAGTTTTTATAATCTACTAAGAGATGGCGCTGCTAGAGTATACAATTGCGATGGCAAATAATAATTAATCGATCGACCGAAGTAGTTTTTATTGGATTTTCTTTTTTTTACAAATAGTAAGCAAGATAAACTTAAAAATAATTGTTCTTTTGAATGTCTGTTGTTTTTGAATGTGTTGTCTTTCTATTTAACTTGTCTGTTATGAGTTGTTAAGTTACTAAAGTCATCACTTTACACCAGAAAATATTTTGACGGTGTCGTAAATAAAACGTGATAAAGATCATTCTGATATTTAATTTTGAACTGTTTGAGTCATTGACTTGCTTCAAATTATAATGACTCAAACAACTTGATGATGTAAATGCATGTCAAATTGCAAGAATGACCGAAAATACTCAAAACCCTTTATGATTCCACGTAGAATGCACGTGTTGTGCTAGAGTAGACTGTGTAGCATGGTTGTAAGCCTAATACTATTTGCATTGAAAGGTTGTTCGTTAAATGCTTATTCAAAATTGTTTAATTACTGTCTCTCGTTACCTCTCAATGCATCAAGTAAACTAAACATAACACTTATCCGTATATTAGCTAGTATTCCTACTTCATCCATCTCACATACCAATTTGTCTATTTCAGTCGAGAGTCCAATCATCAACACGCAGTCTGGGGCCATATCCTTAGCGTCATTGCAACCACCTCTGATGACCGCCCCACCCCTGCAACCAAGACCTGCAACCACCGGCTCCCTAGACCTGATGTTACCACTGCAACCAAAGTTACTGCCCGGTTACAATCTTCAATCATCATTCTTGTCCAGCACCCTGTCGACCGTAAGACCACCAGATAAGGATGAATTCAAACCTAGTGTAGATGTGATAGTTGAGAAAGGAGAGAGCGTTTCAGATTGCTCAGCGCGTGATAGTAATGTAGACGAAAAGAGTTGTGAAAATTTAGATAGGATATCTGATGTCCAAATCAGCGTAGATAGTGTAGATGCAAGTGAAGATTATAACGTAGTTAACGATGCATACAATTCCACTGATAACGATTCTTACAAAGATGAAATCAATTCGAATGTCATTGAAACGAAAACAGTCGACACAAGCATAGTTAGTAGCTCGAATGATAATAGCCCTAACAACAATTCTTATTAATTTGATAATTAATGTTTATGAATGTAAAATAGTTTATCTAGTTGTGAACCCCATAGTATTACGATGTCTCCCACTAGGTTATTCAAGAAATAAATTTTAATGTTACAAAAATCTTCTAAAATTTTAATAATAATTTATGTACCGTTGCGGGGCTAATTCCTGGAATCTTTACTAAATATTGATTTATTAAACGACTACTTATTTTACAAGTTTTTGGCTTCGAGTAAATTCTGTAGTATCTAATGTTTGCAAAAAATATTCTTGACATTAGAATTGGCCCCACATGCAATTTGAATGTAATAAGGATGGAATGATTATTTGCTTGGGTTTAAAATTTTAATCATGTGCTTTATTGAATTTGAATTAATGTCTCTGATATTATAGACATCCTTGAATTAATTGTAATAAGTATGAATAGAATTCTGGTCTGGATAAATTCAAATCAAACCAATACCACACTACTACAAATTTAGTCGACGCAAACAGACATTGGCAATTTGGAAACCAATTTGCGGACTAACATTGATCCTAGTTATTGAAAAGGGAAATGTTGAGATTACTGATATTTTAATTACAAAGTTACTAAAGTTGGTGTACCTACCAATCAAATTAGCGTGTTTCTAGTATTGAGCGCACTATTGTCAAATTTTAAGAAAAGCAGTTTCGTTACGACACGTTTTGTTTGGATTCTAGTAAAATAGGAAAGGATTACAAATTATGTACTGCTTAATTCTTATTTCCTAGTCATCACACATGTCGACCAAAGTAGTCTAGAGTGTAGTTATGTAACAAAGTTTTTGTATATTTTGTAAATGAAAGACGTAACAGTGAATGTAATGTACATTATTGTAAATGTAACTAAAACTTCAAGTTTAAACTTCCTATTGACTTTCTTAGTAAGAGATATATATACGATTAAATATGTACTTACATTAGATTATGAAAATTAGCAGATTTGACAGATACATGTTTAAATAAATGTTCTTGTTAATGAATGGATTAATTAAGTCCTACCGACCACTACTTCTGGATTGAGAAAGGTTGCTAACCGAAGAATTTAAACAAATAAATGTCTACGTTTGCCAATTCATAAATGCTGAATAATTAAATGATCTCATTATTCAGTTTATTAATTTTTAAACTGAAAAGCGCTCGTATATGAACGTCCCAGTATACTTTTTACTCTGCCACTACCATGTAAAACGGCATAATGTTATGTTAAAAACAAATTTTAAATATAACCACAAAAGAGTGTCTACCTAACATAAAATTTACGCTTATCCTCAAGCTAGAAGTATCCAAAAATATAAAACTAATGTGAACAATAAAATGATTCTGTTTGTTCGTATTTTTACACATTGGTAGTGTCGGTAGACAGTACAGTTCGAACCATACGCGATGACCATGACATTTTTTAAAATAAAAATGTTCTGTCAAGAAAACAACCCTATCTTTAAATTTTGCTCCGAATAGTGAAGTAAAAATCCTTCAGATTCATAACGAAAAATCTGCTTATCGCTTTTTGAAATAATCAACCCTCCATTCAATCTTTACAAATGAACAAATTCTACCTTAAAAATCTAAAAAAACTTCACAGATTTAACTAATTGAGTTTTCTGTCTCTGATTTTAAGAGAATTTGCTCTTCAGAAATAATAATATTGCCAAATGGAGTCATTGAAATATCTGAAAAATTGATTTTTAAACACAACAGCTAAATATAAAGAAAAATACTAGATACTTTTTCTGTTGACCGTACCGAATGCATCTGCCTCAATATGCCTGGCTTTTAGACACTAATTCCTTCCTTTGTGAGCGGGAAATGCTACTTTTTCCCTTTTTTTCAGGAAAAACTGGGAAAAACCGGTATTCGGTAGCGTTCTTTTCAATCTAGATGAATCTGCTTCAGTTTTAAAGCCTTCTCCTAATTGGTGCAAGGTTTTACAGAATAATAACCATGTAAACAAGAAAGTTTTCATTACAGAGGGATCTAACAAGCGTTTCCAATTTCCTTCAGCAGGTTTTAATTAATAAAGAATTTTCACATAAACGTTACGGAAAATGAAATTCTAAAGTTATGCTGGGACGTAAAAGTGTGAATTTAGCTGATCATTTTTGTATTTTATGATTTTTAAAATCGTTGTCCAAGATAAATGGATTTCATTTCTGCTAAAGATTGTTGAATTCAAAGGACCCTAAAATAAAATAATTATTAATTTTTAAGTAGATCCTGTTTTTACTTGCTTTTTTGGTTCAAGTTAAGAATAAAATGTGCTTAATTTATAGAACTTTTATGACTACATATTTTGTAATAAGTTTCAATAAATGACATGAAGGAACTAGAAAGAACCAGTCTATAATCAGTACGTCAGTTGATTGTGTCCATATTGTGTCGTTTTAACAGAATTTTTAAAATGCTTTTTAGAATATAACAATCAGTAAATATTTGTGCCAAACTCAATTTGAAACTGTAGATATAAAACAATTGTAATTACTTAGTTATAGTACCAAAATGGCTGTTAAATTATACTAAATTGTACGGATGGGAAGTTTGGAATGTAATAAAAAAGTAATTTTAGTATTCACTTATTATGTAACTTTAAATTACAACTTAGCTTAGTTTATATTACTTTTTATGTATTAATTAATTAAGTGCCAAATGTGTTATTTTTTGTGAAATTTAAAAACTTATTTTCACACAAAAATGCATAGCAATTTAGCTCTGAAACTCCTTGATTTTGTATTTTAAATGAAATTTACTTGTTTGTACTTTTCCAGCAATACCTAATAATCACCTTAAAATACTGTTAGTATATACTAATTTAAACTAGGTCTAGTATATTTTTCTAATATTGATTATAGTTTAACTCATTTTTAGTTTTGATATGAAATAGGTTTTGCCCGTTTAAAAATACTTCATAACTTAAATCACATATTTTAAAATGCATTGATCTAAGGACTGCAAGGTAGAATTGTTTATTTAAACTAAGTATGTGTAGTTCAGACATAAAAGTATATAGTCATTTTGTTTGCAAGATAGCAAAACTTACCACTGCTTATACAGCATTTACTTTAGCTTGATATGCCGTAGTCCGTGAATGTGTTTTTTTATTGTAGGTAATTCTTTTAAGTGATACCTACTAAAAATATGGAATTAATTGTATCCACCATTCACATTGGGTCTATGTTGTCTGTACTTATTTGCAATCTCCATCATGTTATAAATCTCTATGAACAATGAAAGCCTCTTACTATGAGTGGAGCATTAGTTTCTATGTAAAAAAGAATAAGCCTACCTAATTTGGATAGTCTTAATAGAATTTTGATTTCGGATGTACGAGTATGTTGGGCACCACTGCTAACCGTTAGTTCAATATTTGTTGTTGATATTGGAATGGAAAGAGTTCGTATTTTGCATTATTTTTATTGTATCCCACGTTTTATTGTTTGAATAAACGAAATTTGACGACATCTGTGTTTTATTTCAGAAATTTTCTAAACATTTTGTATAAACATTGAAAGCTTTTACGAAGCTGTTCTGATATAAAACATATTTTAGGTTTGTCTACCATATTGTTAACAATAATCTAAAACAACTGTTTTCTACGCAGTGAAAGTAGTTTTAGTATTTTACTAGAGTACTTATATTAGAAGCCCATAGCGTGTTTTTTCTAAGTTTTTTTTTTACTTTTTATTTTAAAATATCTTGTCCTCAAGTAGATTTATTCTGTTCTCACGTAAATGACGCATCTAATGTTTATTAAGAATAAAAAATCTTTAAAAAAGAATTAGCTTTCCGCCCGCGGCTTCGCCCGCGTGGAATTTTGTCTGTCACAGAAAAACTTTATCGCGCGCAGGGACAACAGGGACTGTTTCCAGGGACTCAAACTATCTCTATGCCAGATTTCATCAAAATCAGTTTAGTGGTTTAGGCGTGAAAGCAAGACATACAGACAGACAGACAGAGTTACTTTCGCATTTATAATATTAGTATAGATTATATTTTGAAAATATGACATTAATTTCACAGTCTCCTTTTTTGGCCATTATGCGAACAAAATCACACTATGCTCTATAAGAAACGCGTAGATAGTGGCAGGCATAATTTCCCTTATCGCCGATATAAACTAGTCAAGATGCCGCAGAGCGTGGCACCTCTAATGAAATTTCTGTCCCCGCCCTCTAATCAATGTGCGGTCAAATATTGACAGGAACAAACCGCTAGGATGCAGGCAAATAGAACAGCCAGGACACATCACGTAAATTACAGAACGTCTTGGAATTTATCATTTATTTTAGAGCTTCGTGATTAATTTTCGTTAATTTATTACTTTTGGAGATTTGTTGATGAATAAAATTAGCTTTAAAGCTTGGATGTATCGGAAACTGTTACTGTTTAATTCTTGCTTGGATGAATGAATTGTCCCTCTATCGAAATGCCGTCGAAGGTTCATAATGTTTCAGTTGTGTAGTTGTCATTACATTACTCTAGCATGATGGAGCGCTCTGAAAACTAGAATCGTGTTGGATAAGATTTTTAGCACCATGTGTGACATGGGTAGAGGTCCCATTGCAATAGGTACGCATGGCAATCGCGACAGGGTGACACTCACTGTTCATTCCAAACTTATTTCTTCTGTTCTCTTTTGATTCGGTAATGTATTTTAATGTACCTTATTTGTATTTGTGTGGTGTCCCATTTTAATAACTCTATTGACTAGGCTGTTCTGTATTACCTGTGACCGGTTCAGCCCGACGTAATAAAGGCTTCTGTTTAAGCCTAAAGGATTTGATGAAAATAGTCCATTGTCGTTGCTTGTTAGTGCCACAGGGCTCTTTGGGCCCTTTGTCCGCCATGTTGGTCCAGGAATAATATTAATAATTAATCCTGTGACTCATAATAATATAGGGAAAGAGAAGATATTTTTAGAAAGAAACGCCTTTTCTGAAAGAACCCAGAGGGTTAATAAAATGCACAATAGCTTTCAGCTTTTCATACAAGCTCTTTATCTTGATAATACTCGTAAATTGTATTTATTTACTTCTCACAATATGACAAATGTAGGCACAAATTATGGATAGTTTATTTCCTTGTAATTTACGAATGAGGATTAATTTATTCGTCAAACTCTATCACTACTGTGCCCCTGACTTCGTACGCGTGAAAATTATTTTAATATTTTTTCCC